TGTCCTGCTGGCACAGCTGGGTCACGCTGGGATCACAGGTCTGTAAGAGCTGGCACTGCTGCCGGCTGAGAAGAAAGATCCTCTGTGCTTGACAACGTGGGCCATTGTCCTGGCTTCCCTCTCTCCAAGGGTAGGGACGAGCAGATGCTGTGAGCATGAGAAGGAGGAGGCACAACTAGTACAGAAGGACTTTAGGGCTTCACAGTGGCCTGATGATGACTTAGAGGAGACAGCGGAACAAAGACAGTGTCAATGTTTCAAAGATGTCACTAGGGATGAGCTTCCTATACCAGGAAATGAAGGGACAAAACTTGACCTGGCCAAAGGGATCTCATTACGTGGAAAGATGTGCCCTGCTCTAGGCCATATGCTGTGCAGAAGCTGGCTGGAACACTCAAAGCCTTTGGCAAGGACTGGAAGGAATTCTAAGGTTATGCAATGATACAGCTTTTGAAGTTTTGTAGAATGAGATTAGATTAGGCTGGAGTTCCTGCTGTAAAGGACATGCTAGAATGCAATATTCTAAGAAAATATTGAGCCACGCACTGGCTAACAATGATACAGCCAATGCATTTGGAGAAAGTCAATTCCACATAGAATGACCATCCAGAGCACCCAAGGGCCCCAGAGGAAGGAAGGTGGAAGGAAGATTGGAATGATCTGCATTGGAAGTAGGAAGTCTACATTGGCAGTAAGTCTTGAGCTTCTTGGATGTTGCTTGGTCTCAAATTGAAAGGCACTTTGTGTTGGTATCCCCTGCTGTATGGAATAATAAGGGCATGCTATGCACCAACTGCACCCCCCCAAAATTAAGGAACAACTTTGTGGTCAAGTTAGGTAATAGCTCCAAGACGTAGATTGGCTTCCCTGAAATTGAGTAACGTGCACTTTGACCTGGTAGAAATACAATGTCAACTGTCCTTGATGCAGCTGGTTGCCTACCTGTGATGTTAATTAGGAACTGGTGGAAAGAATTGGGCCCTAGAAAATACATGTGATCACTAATAAGCGATGGACATGTGAGGAAAGTGCAATAATCCACCCTTCCCTGTGTGTGCCCTGGGAACAAGATAAATAGAGTGACTTGCTCAGCTGTCAGGACTGCGTTCAAATGGAAAGCAGGCACCAGAGTGCACACCCCCCGTGTGCCCATCCCACGTCACCTGCTTGTCCACTCCTTGCCAGGGGTCATCTGCTCTCAGGATAACTCCCGCCCTTGGCCATATTCTTCCTTCTTCTTTGGGTTCTTTCTTCTTCTCTTTTACTAAAAATTAGAGCCCAGCTCCTCTTCTCTGGAGGGTCCTCAGGCTCACTAAATACAGGGTCAGAATCCAACCTGGTCTTGTCCTAGATGCTGCCCAGGTCTTGTCCTCAGCCTTGAATGGAGTTGCCCCACCTGGAGCACTCGCAGCCACTGACTGGCCCACCACGGTCCACAGCCCAGTCCTCCCACCCCAGCTCAGGAGAGCTCTCCAAGGCCATCATTTCAATCACTGAGATGTCTATGGTTGAGACTATCAACCAGAAGCCCAGCGCTGCCCCTGCCCAGCGCTGCCCCTGCTCTTCCCTGCACAGGGTTGATCCTGGGAAGCCCCCCTGATACACGTGCTGCACCATCTCTGCCTCAGCGCCCGTTTCTCGGGAGCCCAACCTGAGACAGTTTCTGAAGAGACAGAGCAGGAGCTGAATAGGAGAGAAAGCTCTAGAAGGTGGGGAACCGGCCCCACCAGGCTGCTGGGAGCGTGAGATGGGTCAACACGTGTGAGAGCCAACAGTGACCAGGGAGCCCTAAGTCCTACAGAAGTGTTTGGCTGTTCTGATTAGCACTCCAATTAGAATGTCATATGTCATTATTATTCATGATCTTAAGAGTTTAAGAAAAAAATCTATCTGGACTAGTCCTTGAAAGAGAATCACACCTTCAGGGCAACGAGGCAATTTCTCACTGGTTTTCATTCCTGTGCATCTGCCAAGGCTGTAGCTGAGGGCATCCCACAACACAGGTAAGACATGAGAGAAATGGCCAGGCTGGACTGGAGACGGTATCTCTCGTTTGCTGGATAGACTCCCCTCCTTATGGGTCACCCCCATCTCACCAAGTCATCTGTCTGCAAATATGTACATGTCCTTCAATTCCAAACCAGCGCCACCACCCAGAGGCCCTCCTTGACCACTCCCTCCACCTAATGATCTGACCATCTTCTCCCTTTCTTCGTCGAGCGTGTGTGTGTTCACCATGGCGTGCATTGCCCAGCTCAGGCTTCCATGGGACTCTGACTCATTCTCTTCCCCGGGACAGGGTGGGTGGTCAGCATATTATTTCCCCAGTTCTGCCCTAAAATGCCGCCACAAACTGGGTGACTTCAAACACCTTCCAGAGACCAGAAGTCTGCAAGGAAAGAATCAGCTCAGCCGTGCTCCCTCCAAAAGCTCTAGGGATGGATCTTCCCTTGCCTCCTCCAGCTTTGGGTGGCTCCCAGGGTCCCCTGGCTGGTGGAAGCATTGCCCCGGTCTCTGCCTCCTTCTTCACATGGATCCTCACACGACCTTCTTCCTCAGGTTTCCTCCTCCTTTCTTCTCCAAGGAATTTAGACATGCCAGGAATTTAGACCCACTTTGTACCAGGATGGTCTCATCTCAATATTATTTGCTTAACTATGTCTTCAAAGACTCTTTTTCCAAGTGAGGTCACAGGCACAGGCTCCAGGTGGACACATACTGTGGTGCCCACCACTCAACCCCCCACAGTAGATATATTTTGATTCTACGACCCAGAACCGGCTTCTGTTGGGTCCATCTGGCAGGTGATGCAGGTCTGCAGAGGTCAGCTCCAGAAGGAATGCAGGGAAGCGAGGAAACAGGAAGAAGGGTGAAGGAGGACTAGGTGGATCTTATTGACTGACCATGAAGAAGTAAAGTACAAAAGGAGTCAGAGGTGGCTGAAAAGCATGGACCCTCAGTGCTGTGAGGGCAGTCAGGAGGAGAAGCTGGACCTCGCTGGCCATGTGCTCTGTTTTAACAGAATGTGGAAGGAGTGCAGGATGATCCATTGGCTGAGCCAGGGACTCTGGGCCTCAGTTTCCCAACAAGCCTGTGGCAATTCCAGCTATCCTGGAGTGTGCAGAGTTCTCTATGCAAGGACTTTACACACTTAAGTAAGTACATGGTTCATTATTGCACATGAACCCAGCCTGGCAGGTCAGTTATCTACTTATCTATGTAACTATTAATTATCTTACAAAGTGTCCCAACAGCATGTTGGGTGGGTTAGCCAGTGTTCTGGGAAAGAAAAGGATGCCCAAGATATGCCACCTGGCAAGAGGACCAACATGAAGGGAGAGGAACACACAGGCACATACAGGGCAATATGATAAAATGAGATTGTTCATTTACTGCCTGTCCTCGCCATGTATAACATCGGCCTCATGCAGCAGGCTTCCTCTGTCTTCCATAATTATAATTACCGTATCCCATTGCTAAGCAACCTGCCTGGGACAGAATGGGACCAGTTGCTATTGGTTGAGTCAATGAACAAATGGATTCTTGAACAAATGGATGAAAGGAAGGCAGTAGCTTGCAAAAGTACTACAGGCACTCACAGAAGAAACAGCAGGAGGGGAGAAGTCGTAGGGAAGACACCCTTGAACTTGACCCTGAAGAATGGAAAGTATTTTGACAGATCCAGAGGAGGCATAAAGAATAATCTGATGGATGATATAGGAGCATCAAAAAAATACACATAAAAAAAAATATGGCTCAGAAGTTACAGTATGGGGGCCTGGCAGGAAGGGCAGCCAGAAATGAGAACGTGGTAATGGAAATAGAATTCAAGGTCATAGAGATAGCAATTTTGGCTATTATGGTAATAAATAAATAAATAAATAAATAAATAAATAAATAAATAAAAATTGGATTTTATGCTGCAGGAATGGAGAACCAGGCAGAACTTTCAAGCAGGGAGGGACATTGTTGGTATCCTGCTACTTAGAAAAGTTGTTCTTGCAGCAGTTTGTTGGGTGAACTGGAGCCTAGCAGTCCAGGAAAGCGGGTGGGGCGGCGGGGGAGAGGGGTGAGCTCGAGGCCAGGAGGGAGACGCTGAAAGCAGAAGAAAGACTGAGGCTGGCTTATGGGGTGAAGAGGACAGGATGCTGTCAAGAGGCATTTACAGATCCAAGTGTTAGGGTCTGCAAGACGGCAAAGATGGAGGAGGAGGAAAGGGGAGGCCCTAGCTTAAGGCCCAGCCTGCTGATTTGGAAATGAAACAGTGAGCAGTGGAGCTTCGCCCCAGGGAGACAGTCAGGCCTGCAGGATATCAGTAAGAAAGACCCAGACAGCAGTTGGATGTTCACGTCCGAAGACAGACATGAAGTCAAGGTGCGAATATAGACCGATGAATCAATTTGCCCAGATGGAAAAAGAACAGTAAAAAAAAAAAAAAAAAGAAATACGGAAATGATAGAACAATGAAACCGTTTTGAACAATTAAAAAACAAAAACAATGAAAAGCAATAATGAAATCACAAAATAATGCCATTATTTGCTAAAAGGTCAATTTGCAGAGAGACAACTCACTGTATTTTTTAATTACCATGTTATATTCCATGGGCCACACATGAAACCCAGTTGGAGAGGGGCCCTCAAGTTATCATGAGATTTGTCCCACAGTCCCCAAGTGCATTCTGTGTGTCCCTGGAGGCTCCCTGTAACCGGGCACACTTCCAGGCACCCCGGAGGCTCCCTTGGCTAGCAGTCAGATGCAAAGGCAAACTGCGAGCTAAAACAAAAGTGAAATTAAAACTCAGCCATGGACTGCAGAGGAGCCCGTCTGCAAGCCAGGAAGTTTCTCTGGGGAAGTACCCCTGAGCCGAGGTACAGAAAAAGGAAGACAATGGGTGTCCCAGAAAGGGGACACTGGGCCTGAGAGAGCCCTGAGGGATGAAGCCAGGGACAGTCCAGGGCCCAAGAGGCAAGGCTAGCCCAAATGAAGGAGAGCAGGAGAGATGAGGTAAGGCCACCTTATGGGCTGATGTTCAAGGAAATTCTGTTTATGGAGGAAAAAGTCACCAGTAAGTGTTTGATAAAGCTGATGAAATGCGTGCAAAGAGAAAGAAAGTTGGTTGAACTGGCCTAATTAAATGAACTAGGGATGCATAACAATGAGGGTTTATGATAGTGAATGTATTTAATGAATTTTAACAAATTGCTTCAATTTGAAATGATTTAATTTCTTCATGGAAAGTGCCTTAGCAAAGTGCCTAAATTATATGGGAGTTTCGTAAAGATCAGAGCTGCTCTTGCTTTGAGTCTGCCTTCCTGTGAGATGATGTTTACTATTGTTTTGTCCAATTCAACAAATATAGGGAACCATCTAGAATGTGCTGGCCACTGGCTCACAGTTGACATCCTCGCAGTATCTCAGCAGCCTCTGGTGAACCATGTGGCAGAAACAATGCGATTGGTGTTTGGGGAATGAGTCTGTTGGAGGGTCTTGGAGCTTGGAACAATTCCAAGGTGGCTCTGCTGATGTGGGAGAGGCCACAGGTCCCTGCCCCATAATACTACCCCTGTATGATGATGCTCTTACACTTTTATAAAAGTGTTTTTAAGTAATTAAATTACTTTAAACATGAACTTTTTTAACCCCAGTGGAAATGCAAAGAGGGATTCAGAATTGTGTGTGAGGCGTTAATTACTTACATCTGACTGGTGGGGGTTTTTTTTCTATGAATGAATGCACTTAATTAATTTTTCCCTTAGCTTCTTGCTATCTTCAGGCTGTAATCTATTTTCTTTCATCCCAGGGGCAATAAAAGGACAACAAAAGAAAAATCCAGTGATTTGAAATTCCAGAACTCCACTCTGCTGAAAAACAGGTCAGAATCTTTACTCGTTTATTGAAAGAGAAATGAAAATTTTTATTCTGTGGCAAATAAACTGGCCATCGTATGCACCCATTCACATGGAAAATGTCCATGTGACCGAGGTACAGCTCTGGTAATGAGCTCAGAGGCTACCCAGAGACCAAAAGAAGGAGTTTGACTGGCCTGCACAGCCAGCAGGGCTGGAGCCCGAGAGAGAGCCACTGAGGGGGACATCTGTCCCTCTGTAGTGAGTGATTAGATGACGGAGCATGCATCCGACCACAAGTTCACCTCAGGGTCTCACAAGCCAGCAGGCAACAGAGAGCCGCCTGCCTGTATCATCAAGTTTCTTTGTCCCTCAACTGAGAAAAATGTGTACTGAGCAGTTATGCCATCAGGATTTTCACAGACCATTGAAAAAGCAGAGACAAAAGACCCAGTCCTGCTCACAAGAGCCCACAGATAGTCCAGCTTCAAGTGTCAATTAAATTACTGAGAAGAGACCAAACCCAGTCCAGTCCAGTTCTGCACTGACCTGCAGACTCCCTGGCAACATCCTGAGGCTCAGAACATATGAGGGCCCTGCTCGCAGCCAGCACTCCCTCACCACGCCCTCCTGGGGTGGTCAGTCTTCCCAGCGTGGTCCAGGGGTCTGCATGAGTATGACCATCCTCCGAACCCAGCTCAGTTCAACTCAAGCCTGTCCAGCAAAGCCTCTGCAGGGCCTACTGTGTGCACAGGCTGCAAGCAGACTTGAGATCGTAAGTCCTGCTAGAATAAATATTTTCCCTAAGCAGAGTAAATGAATGCCCGTAAGACAAAATACTGGCATTGTTTTTCAAAACCACTTTAAGCAAAGGAAAATTTGTGGCTGTTCTCAGACTTCTTTAATGTTTACATTGAAAACATTTGAATAATGCATTTTAAGTTCATTTTTCTTATTTTCTGACAAAAGCAAGAGATGGGGAATGGAAGGGTTAGAAGCCTTCCTTCGAATGGAGAGAGTTGAAGCAATTACATACATCAAAGTAATATTTACAGTTACATTTGAGGGGGAAAAAATAAGACAGAGAGGAGAGCAATGCTTTTTTTCCAAAGCAAATTATTTCAGAATGTGTCATAGCATGCTCAAGATATATTAAAAAGAGCAACAGATGATGTTTCTGCAACCTGTTCCAAACCATTTATAAACCCAAATTTAAAAAAACAAATCCCATATACATACAAATTTCTGTACCACTGCATATTTTATAATGGAAGTATTATATGAATATAAATTAGCATTTGAAATATATAAATCAAATCAAAGTGCCCAGAAGCTGCATGTGAGGTCTACTATCCATTCCCCATAGAGGCAACAGTGACCATCACTGGATAATGCAGGAGAAGGGGAGCTAGAGGTGGGCAGCTTACAGTACAGAACCAGCCCATGGAACCCAACTGAAATCTCAGCTGACTTGCTTACTGTGTGGCCTGGGACAGCACCTCATGTACTTTTAAAATGGCATTTGAAAAAGCAGTGTCTCTTGTTCTTCATCAAATACCTGAACCTAGAAGTGCCTGTGTCTGGGGAATAAATCAATGGCCACTGTGGCATACCTGAAAGGTAGCAGGTTCTTGATGCATAATGAAGGCTAACAGTCTCTGAGTGCCCACCCTGTGCTAGACATTAACTAAGAGCTTAGGGCAGCTCTCGCAGGATCCTAGCAGTCACACCTCACTAGTCTCCCTTCCACAGGAAAGAAAACACAGAGGATAACGAGTTGCAGAGCGGTAAGTGGTAGACATCATGATCATTACTAATATGGAATCTGTCTCTGGTCATCTCACACCATTGCCCTCATGCTGTTAGGTGTGGGTGCTGACTCTCCAGACCTAGGCAGAGGGCTCAAACATGCACACGTAGCCTCCCAGCAACTTACACAGTAAAACACTAAGCTGAGTGTTAGGTCTACTCAGAAGATACAGCCCAAGAGACATTCCAAGAACAATACAGATTATCCCCATATCCAGAACCATGACCCATCTCTGATAGCAAGAGGAGTATGTCCCAACAGCTCATGGTGTTTGCCTGACTGAATCCCAGTACTCTCTTTTACTTTGTGCTATGTCTCCATTATATAGTGACAGAAACATTCCAATTGGTGTTGCCAATTTGAGTCCACGCTCAGCAGGTGAATACCTAATAGGCACCAGATGTCCAAAGGAACTTCGGCAATGAACCCTCACAATTACACTCCATAGGTATTTTTATTCCCATTCAGTGCTAGGGAAAAGTAGCCTGAAAGAGGTTGCATGTTATGGCCGTGGTCACAGAGCTACTGAGCTGACTTCAAATCCAGTGCCACTTCTGCATTTTAATGATCAAAACCTTCTTATCCATCAGTGCACAGTTGGCCCCCACAGCCGTGGGCTCTGCACCCCTGGATTCAACCAACCACAGATCAAAAACGTTGAAAAACTTAGGTCTGTACTGAGCATGTGCAAACATTTGACTTGTCATTATTTTTAAACAATATGGTATAACAACTGTTCACATAGCATTTGCATTGTATTTGTTATTCTAAGTAAATCAAAAATGATTTAAAGTAGACAGGGGATGTGTGTAAGTTATATGCAAATCCGACACCATCTTATACAGGAGATGTGAGCACCTATGGATTTTGGTATGGTGGAGCTGGAACCAACATCCTGCACACACCAAAGGGCATCTGTTTATGCATGGGTTTAGTTTCCCATTCCTAAGGGTCAGTAGTCTGCCCCTGCTGAGACTCCCCATTTGAAGGAGAGCCATGTGCTTCCCCTTCCTGAGAAGCACATCTGTCAACAGCTGCATAAAGGTGCTGCCTCTCAGGAGTGGTTCTCAGAGTGTGGAGCAAGGACCAGCACCATCAGCATCACCTGGGAACTTAGAAACACAGATTCTCAGACTCCCGTCTACTGCCACAACGTCAGGCAGCTGTGTCTAAATCGGCTGCCCTGCAATACGGAAGCCTGTTCAGAAACCTTGGCAGGAAGCATCACTCCCAAGAGCACAGCTGGAAGAGAAGGTATAAATTTCTCTGGGCCTGACTCCTGCTCTGTCTCTTCCCACTGGATGAAAGCAGGACAGAGTGAAGATCTTCAGGAGGGGGCGGGGGAGAGAACCGTGAGTGTCCGAGTGCCTCTCCCCTTAGAGAAACCTCCTGGAGGCCACTGTGGGGAACCTTGGGAAAAGCAAAGGTGAACAAGACACCCCCCTGCCATCAGGATGTTCATCTGTGGGGTGGAGGGGTGTGGAAATGTAAAGGGACAGTAGACCAAGACACATTGTAAGGCAGGGCATCGTGTGCACAGCAGAACACAAGCCCCATGGAGCCGAGGGACACAGCGGGATCAGAAGGTGAAGGTTGACCAAGTCCTGTCTCCAGAGCCAGGGTTCCAACCACTTCCTCCATTTGCCACATGCCTGTGCCCTGCTGCCCCCTCTGGACAGCTCAGTACTAACTGTGTGCTGTCCCCTCAGACCTTCCCAATACATTGCCTCATTCATGATCAATTTCCCCTCTGCCACGAGCTCAGGTAGTTCATTCCAGGGCAAGAAGGTGCAGGTGGCTGTAATTTCTCAGGGTCCCCGGGGGCCAGTCCTCTCACTGAGGAGACGGGTGCTCTCTTCCATTCTGTGCACTTGGAGGCCCCTCCTGGGCCCCTCCAGTCAGCACACCCAGGAGCCTGAGGGCACAGCTGCCACTGCTCTTCCATGCTCCTCCTGTGCGGCTGCTCTGGGCCTCTCTAACAGGGAGTCATCCACAACAACAACTTCTAGCTCTTCCCCCACCACTGGTGGAAGGCAGGGTGTCCTCCTGAAAGACCGGCCCACAAGAGCTCCCCTAGGGTCCAGTGTGCCTTTACAGAGGATGCCCGATCCAAAGGAGCGGCCACCAACTTTCTTCAGACTCTGCACATGGGGATCCTATGTTGTAAATGCTCAATAAACATTTTCGGGAGGTGGGGGAAGGAGAATAAAATCAGGACCCACACTTTAAGGTGCCCACTGCCTACTATACCCAGAGCCTCCTACTGTGCCTGCTGTATACCAGACACCTAAACAGGTAACAAAAGGCACTTTAACAGGAGAGGGTTGGAGGGACAAAGAGACTAGACAAAGACCAAGTAGGGGTAGAGAACTCAGGTTTGGACGGCCCGCTACAGGAATCTGCCCGTCAAGCTATGCATGGCGAATGATCCTGCTACTCTTATTTGTCTGCAGCAGAACCCATCAAAATGATGAATTTTGCTTTCATTTTTAAGTATCTGTCAGGGACATTGATAGCTTATCTGAAAAAGATTATAGCTCATAAAAACTTGCTATCCTCAACTTAAAATACAACTCAGAAAAGAAAAAAACGAAAATATATGCATATGAGATCAATAATAAATTAAATCATATGTGACTTTCTAGCTTTACTGAGTATATTACTAGAGCAAGAAATTCTACAGGAGCTCATAAGAGGGAGGAGTCCGTATAGCTCTGGAGGGGCAGGTTCCCAGGAGATGGGAACAGGCTGGGCCTCCGCCAGCCAAGAGGACCCAGGGTGTGAGCCCCCACAGCCATGAGGGACACCAGATACTTTCAGTGTTCTCTCCACAGCCCCTACAGGTGTTTGCCTGCCCTAAATATTTTTATAAATATAGAGAAAAGAATTCTTGACTTGAACACTGTACAATGTACACATTTATCAAAACATCCATAGTGTGTACAATTTTTATGTGTCTATTTAAAAAATTCTTGAAACTAATCAGGGATGCCCTTAAGAAGGAATGGACCCATTTACCCACTTATTAAATATGAGACTTGGCTCTATTCCACCTGGGGGTGAGTTTCATCTGCCCCAAAGTAACGTGGGGTCGGAGATGCTATTCAGTCTCCAACATGGAACAAACATGTAGAAGCTGCTCCAGGGGAATTGCAGAGTAATTGTGCATTCATGAGGAGTCCTACCACACGTGCATGCTCAGTGGCTTGTTGGGAT